TATGCAAGGGAAGAAAAAGTAGGGAAAGAGCGAATATAAAGATAGGAGACGAAAAATTAGAAGAAGTGCCTGATTTTAGATATTAGGAATAGTAGGGATATAAAGCAGAGGATAGCACAGGGTCGTGTCGCCTTTAATAAAAAGAAGTCACTTCTATGCTCGCGAACGGTTAATTAAGAAATTCGAAAAGGATTGTTAAAGGTTTATGTTTGGAGCGCGGCGTTGTGCGGGTGCGAAACATGGACAGTGGGCGCGGTGGAAAAGAAAAGGTTAGAAGCGTTGAAAATGTGGTGTTGTAGGGGAATGATGAGGATAATGTGGGTAGAAAAGGTTAGAAATGAAAAGGTTTAAAACATAGGCGAAATAGGTTGGTAGGACACCTTCTCAAGCATGAAGGTCTAGTCAGAGACATATTAGAGGCAGAAACAGGAGTTAAGAGGGATAGAGGTAGACCTAGGTTAGATAACTGTTCACAAATAGTCAAGGATGTGAGTTGTTCTAGTTTTAGGGAAATGCCAAGTTTAGCTCAGGGTAGGAAAGAGTGGAGGTGCGTATCCAACTAGTCTTAGGACTGACGACCTTACGATGATGATGATTCTACTATTAGTTTATGATAATAAATAGCATGATCATTACGTAATATTTTATATGTATTTTAAATTACGAAAAAATCAAATGAAATTAAGCTAAGTAAAATGCTAAATTACTTATGTTCTCAGGAATTCTCCAGTTAGGGAACACTTTAGATTTGTAATTTGAATTTATTATTCAATTCTCTATTTGAACATTTTCAATATTCGTTCATTCCTGAATAAAGTAAATAGAAATTTCCCTTTTCGGAACATAGCTAATAAAAAAGTCTATCAATCGATGTTTATGTAATTGTAGAACATTGGGTACCTAATCATATTTATGAATTTCTATAACAACATTCTTGGTAAAAAGTGTACTTTGCGAATAAGATTTAAAAAGAAGTTGTAAAAAGACAAGGCGATAAGGATTGCGACTGCTGACAATGTGTGTCCTAGAAAGTATTTAGAAAGGGGTCAGTAGAATCAGCACGGCCGACCCCTACCGACTGAAATCGTCCTTAGTCTGCAAAGCACATCCCGTAGGATAGGCAGGATGACAGGCAACGCCACTGTACTCTGCGTCAAATACGCGAATTATCCTCTCGCTCTACGCCCAAGCAATGTCATTTATTATTAACGGCTACGTTGTTCCCGTGTAGTCAATTTATTGACTGCCCAGTGGACGATATACCCGAAAGTGTCATTCAATAAACATGTAAATTGCGTGCTTTTCGAAGTGTCCAGTGACCACCGCCATCGCCGCCACCACTACCACCCTCTAACATCCCCCCGCATCAATTCTCTAAAACTTTCGTGACTAATGAATGATATTGCGATACGGGAGAGGTAATGAAATACTAAGCGCATATAGTAGAGCTTTTTTTGTTACAGAAAGGGTTTCAGGGTATAATTGCTGAATGAAACTCTGAAGGGGCCTCTCATTCGTTCGCCCCCTTTGTTCTTATTGTTGTTATTTCATTTTCATGAATAAAAACGTTTGGTAGTGGACCATTCATTCATTGTTGTTGTCGAATAAAGCAGTTTATCACTCATTGTTGATGTTTTATTTTGTTTTTTGCTTGTAGTAGCTTTTTAGGTGCAAACTATATCGACATTTAAAGGATACTTATAGTAATAATAAAAATAATAACATAAACAAACTAAATAATTAAATAACCTATAAACATATAAGTGTATCTACAGTTGCTGTTACTGTTAAAAATGACAATTTAATTAATTTACGTTAAAAACTGATGGTTCTGCAGTGATAATCATTGTACCATGTTAAAGTGACTTTTTATTAAACAACCAGACACTTAAAGAAACTACGGTTTCAGAAGAAACAAATTCCGACTTCAAGTGCCTTAATCATTAATAAATAAAAAGGTAAGAACTGACAATAGTTTGTTCAAAGGGAAGGTTTAGTTATTGTATAAATTTGTTATCGATATCTACAACTTCTTTTTAATTTATTTATGGCAAGAAATGCTTTTTTATTCGTATTTGAATTGGTACAAATTGTTTAATTAATTTTTTGACAAATATTTATTAAGTTAAACGAACATACAGATATTATGTGCCCAAAATATCGAAACCAGACAACGAATACATGCTATGGTAGTGGGGTTAGGAAGTGCATTCATTATCAAAAAACAATTAGGTGTGTTTTAAAGGGTTGGGTGGCGCCAACATTTACCGGCAAGTGGAGATGTAAAATTTTTCTTTGCTCAGGTGTGCACGTAGATTTAATCGGTTTACGCCCATGTTGACTGAAAATGGACCAAAACAAACTACGTCGATTTTGCGACTAGGGCGCCAAACTGTGGGCGGTTTTGGGAAGAATTCACCACACCCGGAGTGTTGACAGATACCCGGAAACGGAACAAAAAGCGATTGTCCCAGATTCTGGAAAAACCGACACTTTGATAGTAATGCTCCACATATTTTCACTAATAAAAAACAAAAATGAATCTAAATATGATTTGGTTACTAAATTGATCGTTAAAAGTTAGAAATAATTCAACGTTCGTATCTGTGGGTACCGACAGGACATATGTCTTTGTTCAAGGGGGTTGCATCTGAACATATATTGAGTGAGAGAGAAATACCTGCTGCTCGCTGTGAGAGCATTAAAAATTTAATTGTACCTACTGTTAAAGTTATTCTTGATTTTGCTCGGTCCAACGTGTTGTGGGCGACGCTAGAGACGCCTGCGTCGTGACGTCCCCAGCGACGCCCTACGGCGAGCCCGTGAACCTCAGTCTGACCCTAACTCCGGTAACCGCAGGAGATCAGCGTATCACGACTGAACTTTGCAAATAATTATTTTTGATCGTTTAGGTTTGTAGTTGTCATATAAATAATATCGCGGGCCGTAGTGTCAACATTGACGCGAACTTTGACCCCTTTCGAACGGCCGCAAGGGTTAAAAGTGTTGCAAAGACGTAGCCCACATAGTAGACTGTCAATCCGACAGCAGTCGAACACGTTAGTGCCAAATTTAAGAGTTTCGTTGACCCGGCCAGTATTATCAATTTAATCGGGGATATAGACTGATTCGTTATTGTTGAACATGGGTGCTAAGGGTAGCGTTGAAGCAGCCAAGATTAACGTTCAAAACTGGAATAATCTCGAGGTGAGAACACAGCATACATCTTCCGGTATTTATTTAGTGGTATTTTCACCGGAAATCGCCTTTATACTGCAGTAAGCTTATATATGAGGGATAATAGTACCTATTCCTAAGTAAACAAACAACATCAGGATTTCTGATTATCCCCCAATAAATGTTTTTATATTAGCTAATAAAAGTTTGTCAACAATAATCCCAAAACCTATTTGATCTTGTGTATAATGAATGTCATTCCTGTCTTGATGAACTATGTACATTCCCATTTTTTTTTTAAATTTGTAACGTAGTAGCCGGTTGTATCTGGAGGCAATCGATTTGGCAAGGTGTCTTAGTTTTACCATCAGTTTACTTTTATCCCTATGTCGAGACAGAATATACGCGCATGTCTCCACAGTAACGAGAAAACGCGTTTGATTTTCTCTTTACCAGATTTTGTGCGACATGCCAAAAAGACACATTTTCTTTCCGAAATTGACCTCTTGTTGACATTAATCTGTCATGTGAATAGGAGATGGAATTTCAGTGAAAAGAGACACACCTTTTCTATATGTAAACACGCCCTTTACTTTCCAGAATTAATATATTAGGGTGTGAAATATCTAAAAAGTATTTGGTGAACTACACGTGTGGAAAATATTACTGTGATTATTTACGAACTTTGTCGTAAATTGTAAAAGCTTGCAAAAAGTTTTAAGTTAATTTTAGGAAAAAAATAGGAATCAGGGTATTTTAAAAACATAGATATGAAAAGTGGGATATCAATTTGTGAAGAAAATAAATCGTTACCTTAAATTTTCATATAACTGTATTAAATGATCCTATATTGAATTAAAAACTGTACCTTTCCTATTCAATATAAATGATATTTCAAAGGCACAAGTATGTAGATTCTTACGTATCTATTATTAATTCTATTACCGAATGTCTAAACGACCATTTGAATTTGATACGAATTCTAGGCATTTTCAAATAATATTTCCCAAAACTATTGATTTGCTTGTAGCTCGGCTTTTACATTACACCCTAATATGAACTGTAGTTGATAGAGAACACCCATTAAGGAAAGTACCTAAACCGTTTTTGTCAGAGTTACATATGTTTCTTGAAATATATCTCTTGCCAAATATCTCATTCATTGTAACATATTTTATTCTATTCAGAATAATATTCCATGCATTCAAATCTTCCTTGAATAATATTGTAGTAATTATTTACCATTAGAAAACTTGTAAGTAATTAAAAATTGCTAGAATATCAAGTAGACGCGAGAGCTTTTTTTAATTTATTTTATAATTTTGTTTTCGAAAGTTTATTTTTTTTTCACTATTGCTTTCTCCTTATTGTTATTAAGAAACATTGAGGAATAATTCTTCACAAATTAATCTGTTTGATGAGAACTTTCGTAAAAAAATCCATAGATTTTATAAACCCAAAGAGAAACAAAATGAGAAACCGTAAAAAATATTTTTTTAAACATCTCTGATAAAAATGTATATATGCAGGAAGTAAAACGGGAAAAATGCGCACTTTTCCGAACGATATTTTATTGAGTCGTTTGACGTTTATTGAATATGGCACAAACAATTTTTTATTTCGATGTTTGAGAAAATATATGATCTTTCAAAATAACTTGTAATATCTACAAACATTTATAATATATCATGCTGTACCAGTTTAGGGTTTAGGTATCTGTCGCTTCTGCCGCCCACGAACGAACCTAAGCGCACTCTTACCTGGTATAACTTAATAAAACATACTTCGTTTAAAAAATGACATATTGAAAAAGTTAGGCACCGTACAATTTTTTGTTTCTCTACCGGTCCCTTTCGTTTATCTTTAAATTTTCTTTCGGTAGATTCATCATCTTTCAAGGAATTACTTCATTCATTCATTTTCATCTTCACATATTTCGCACTTTCTTTTATTCTCTTTCAACCAATAGGTACTTGAGCTCATTATATACATTCCTGATTATTTCATATTATTCGTATTCTTTATCATTTTATTCACATTGGCATATTCATCTTTTCTTCTTCGTTAATCGTGACCTAACGTTATCTGTCTTAAAGCTTCTTCCCTCTCGTCATATTTGTTTCTTTAAAAAAATTCGCAAAAGCTATTTATCTCCGCATATCTTTGCTTATATCTCCCTCTTGGAAACCCTTCAGTTTTCTTTTTCATATCTTTACACTCCTCTCTTTCTCCATATTTTTGTTTTCCTCATCCATCTTTCCAGTCAATAATCTTACAAAGCTTTCGCTAATTATTTATCAATGTGAACATTATCCTTGTTATTCTCTACTGATATATACCCAAAGTAGTTTATTTTTTTTTACTTATTCAATTATTTCTTTATTCCATTTACTCTTATTTGTTCAATGTTTAATCCTGAATCGTTTTGGAATCCTTTTGTCATTTCTATCAAAACTTCAAAATTCGTCGGTAATAAGACAATGTTACCTGCATACGAGAACGCCCATATTTCTTTTTTAACTCATAACTATTCCACCTTCATCACCTTTCTCATTGTTTCTTCCAAATCACTTATGTATACTTCATTTACTTTCTCTAGCGAAGGGCCTCTTCCAATGTCTTGGATGCGCGCTGGCAAAATCATAGGTAGGGAGAAAAAAGCGATAGTGTCGACTCTTGTTCATTAAACATACTTTTTCATACAGTACCTGCCAAATGTTTTGTTCAATCATGAATAGTAGTGCCAGTCGAAAACAAGCGTTAAAGCCGTTAATATATCTTCAAATATAAATAAATATATCGTTGATGTTTTCAGTAGTAAATGGTACCAATAACAGCACATTTGAGCAATGCAATTGTAGTGGATAAAATGGTCAATTTTTCCGTGCAGTACTGTAAGGATTATAGGCTCCTCACCGGTTAAGAGTTTGGACGAGAATTGTCTCCTTTCTTTTCTGGCCTAGTGCTGTTCTGTTCTACTTTGCGCCGGTCAAACTGAAGGTCACATCGCTACAGAAAGTAAACGAAGTATACCTACAAGTTGAACCCAGAATTTCTTTGTCTCTTTATTATTATAAACTTTTACTATCCCTGCTGTTTAATTATTTTCAGATCTGCAAATATTACTTTACTCTACTTATGTATAGGCGATTGTCATATAAACTGCGTATATCGTTGCTGATCCCTCTCTAAAACGAAACTATATTTCACATAGTTCTTAGGCTTTCACGGCCGGCGTATATCGATGTAATATTAGTTACGACTCAGCACCTGCCCAGTTACCACTGAAGATGCCGTCAGCAAGGAACGGCGAAACGTTTGGAAAAGTAAAATTCCAGGGACCACGGCCAAAAACCCCGGAAGAAAACACCGCATCGATATATTTCACATAGCATTTCACTTTCCACCATGTGCTTCTTCATTCTTCTTCATGTAATCTAACTATAGATTTTATATAATGCGTCAATTAACGTAATTCCTCTTTAATTTTTTATTATTGTCCCATCATTTTTCTTGAAAATCGGCGTTTTTATCCCACCAAGAGTTGACGACTTCAACATGACTAAAGTAACTACCTCCTACAATAATTCTTGGTATCCATTGAGTAACATTTGGGTTAAAAGTCACCGTCCCAGTTTAACTCGACTAAAATATACTATGGTACGTGCTTTCAAATTGCAAGAGATGCATGAGAAACGGTATTGGATGTGGGCCAAACAAGCTTCTTACCCGCGCCGATAAAAATTTTATGATTGCATAAAACTTAACTTCCCTACATATCCGCAACGACAGAACAACAGTTATATGCACTGATCTACCCTTATAAATATCTCGAAGCGACTTTAAGAAAACACGTTTTTTTTTAACAGTTCTTGCGTGTATCTTTACAATGATTTTTCTAAGTAATTAGGTTATTAATGAAAATGCTAGTACAACTCGTCCAAATTAGGGGCTGATGGTATTGGTAAAGGCTTTCGCGATCAGTTGGTGATTTGGGTCTAAAGGTCGTCGTCGATTGGAGTTGGATCCTAACGTTTCGCGAGTGGCGAGCCTCTTCAGTGGTCCTTCCACCTCTGATATTGAATGTTCAATGAACAGTCAATAAATATTCTTGTCTTTGATAAATGGACTATAATAAATCTGTTTATGTATGAAACTTATATATACTATAGAATGCCTAATAGGTACATTGAAATTTAAAGTCCCCATAAATTTTTAATCAAACTATTTTCAAGCATATACTATCATAAAATGGAATATAAAAGTCGAATTGGAACCGATGTAAACTATAGAGCTCCTACAAAGACGTGAAACTGCCCCAAATTAATTACCCTTTGTAATAATGCCTTTATTTCCACTTATTGGATGGGTAGTTTGTTAGCTTATAAAAAAAGTCTTTTGATGCTTCGAATAGCAATATGTTCTTCAAAGCATAACGCCCTTGGGCAATGTCTACAACAAAACTCGGCTGGCAGGTAATAAATTTTTTAATTATTTCGTTATTTCGCAACTTATAAACAAAGCGTACCTACATGGAGAGAAAAATATTGCAAAAATAACCACGCTGTCTCCTAATCTGGATGCTTTTGATTGACAATGGAAAAATTACCACGCTGGCACAGTGAAAATTCATATGCTTTCTAGTAAAGTTTAAAAGGTTCTCAAGGTACAAAAATTATTAGATTAATATCGCATTTTGTCAATACACTTTATAGTGACAAGCATGATTTTTCACCCTGTAAATTGGTTACAGTACCGCGCAGTTTTTGATGGGAAAATGGATTTCTGCCGCATGCTGCAATAGAACTTTCAGAAGATATTTATTTATTATCTTGATCAAAAGTCTTTGAGACCACAAGTCACAAAAATTTCCAGTTTTTATGTGTGTACACATATGTATACAATTATATTGACACTAGCAAATATGTATGTGATTGTATGTGTCAAAAATTTAACACCTACTGAATTATTTCTACCCCTAAAATGAATTAAAAGGAGTTGTTAAATTAAGATTTCCAGGACACCATTTC